GGACCTCAATCAAGCAAACGTTCACGAAATCATTCATTTCTGAATGTTCAACTATAACTTTGTTTTATCTCTTGGAGCGCACGAAAGGAAATTCCTATTATGATGTTCGTAGAACATCGTGTGTACCTAGGGAGGATAGGGGGAGGCCTTTTAAACCAATTCAACACTATTTTTCATATCAAGCTATGCATATTTTCACTTCAGAACTATATTTTTTGACGTTTGTAGAAAAAATGTTGTTTGCAACTCGAACGCGAAATACTTTGGTCATCTCGACTATTTTTTTAACTCGGCTACGCCTCGCTAAAAAAATCAGATCTCGATCACCAAAGTAGCATTTCGCGCTCTAGATACAAAATAGTTATTTTTGTATCTAGAGCGCGAAATGCTACTTTGGTGATCGAGATCTGAATTTTTTAACGAGGCGTAGCCGAGTTAAAAAATAGTCGAGATGACCAAAGTATTTCGCGCTCCAGTTGCAAACAAAATTTTTTCCACAAACGTCAAAAATATAGTTTTAAAGTGAGAATATGCTTAGGTTGATATGAAAAATAGTGTTGAACTGGCTCAAAAGGCCTCCCCCTATCCTCCCTAGGTACCCACGATGTTCCACGAACATAATAGGAATTTCCTTTCGTGCGCTCCAAGAGAAAAAACAAAGTTATTGTTGAACATTCAGAAATAAATGATTTTGTGGATGTCTGCTCGATTGAGGACCGTAAAGTTGAAATATAAATGTCTCATATATTTTTTATAACAATGCGCGAAGTAGGTACTTCGCGCACTGTTTTACTTCGCGCATTGTTTTGTGCAAGGAATCATGGTAACGTAGGAAACTGAAAAAAAGTGTCACTTCGCAATTTGTTATCAATGCGCGAACCTTGTCGTTTTTTGACGTTTGTAGAAAAATAACTATTTTCTACAAACGTCAAAAAATGACAAGGTTCGCGCATTGATAACAAATTGCGAAGTGACACTTTTTTTCAGTTTCCTACGTTACCATGATACCATGTACAAAACAATGCGCGAAGTACCTACTTCGTGCATCCATTATGTTCGTTTAACATCGTGCGTACCTAGGGAGGATAGGGGGAGGCCTTTTAATCCAATTTAACACTATTGTTTATATCAAGCTAAGCATATTTTAACTTTAGAACTATATTTTTTGACGTTTGTACAAAAAAAATTGTTTGCATCTCGAACGCGAAATACTTTGGTCATCTCGACTATCAGATCTCGATCACCAAAGTAACATTTCGCGCTCTAGATACAAAAATAACTATTTTACGTGATATTGGTATTCTTTTTCAACACGATAATTTAATCATTTAATCAGTTTTCGAGAGAACCGTAATTGACTAGGTCAATGCCTCGGAAGGGGATTTCAAATATTTCATTCATGAAAAGTGTACTTTGGACTGTCAGATAATTGTTGCTGGTAAATGAAATTTCTTGTCAGTGAATACATTTTGGTGCGAGTTTATAGTCAATACTTTTTCGATTGAAACGCCCTATATCTTTGTCCACAGCAATATTGCACAAAGGCATATTTGGTCCAAAAAGTCCATCCTCAGCCCATGCCCCAATAGTTATGATTCACCCTGTATAGATTATCTCAATATGCCTGTAGTAAGGGAAAAATCAGATGTTTTCCCCAAAGAGAAAATTTTGATCGATATTCAGACACCTTGTTTGAAAGATGTTTAACAAAAGAATATACGTGTCAACCGTCATGAAAATCGTAGGCTTCATCAGAAGTCTAGGGTTAGAGGACCAAAACTAGATAGGGGTAATCACAATAGATCTTCTAGGTCGCAGTGATCGAGAGGTCTCCCAGCCTATACGACCCATCTACAATCTACAATCTACAATCTACAGGGTGTTGTCCCAATTGATCATGAATTTACCAATCTTAAATTCATATTTTAGGAGTGAATATCTATATCAACTGAACAGGTAGCAATGTTGTTGTCTCAGTAACATTGTTTCCTGTTTAAGTGATATAGATAGAAATTAGTTTTCACTCCTAAGATCTGAATATGAAAACTAGAAAAATACCCTGACAAATTTTGTCTCTGGGAGCTCTGTCAAAAAATGAAAAAAAAAAGAGATCAATCTCAAGAGTTATTTCATGTTGGAAACGCTATCCGATTCGTTCCCGAAACGCCAATGACGTGAAATTTTATATCTTCTCAATATACCTTCAATCTACTTAGTTTTCCCCGAACATTTTCCAAACAAGGTGTCAATGACTATGGATTGAATTTGTCACTAAGAGACATTTTCGAGGACATCTGATTTGCCTTCACCGAACGTATTTTGAAATATTGAGAATATTTTTATTTATATTTATAGAAGAGGTGAGAAAATCTAAAAAATCCAGAGAAATTATTAATATTCCACCTCCTCGATCAACCTAAAACATGCAGTATACAAGAAAGCCATTATACAGGGTGTATTTAAATAACACCGAAAAAATCTAAGGGACGATTCTGTGGTGAAAATGAAAATGGGTATTTGGTATACAATTTTTTGATTCACCTCTAAACGGAAAAGTTACACCCCTCCAAAGATTTTAAAAAAATCATGGTTTTTCTTCTTTATTCTCCCTGTATATGAAGCTGAAGACACGAAACTTGGTAAATATTATTTCTCAAAAGAACTACACATTTTGAAACGATTTTACCCTGAAGTTTTCTAAGGAGGGGTTGAAATATTCAACTCCTTACGTATTTTACAACTTTTTTTATGATGAAAGTTTTCCTAAGAAAAATATGGCTGAAAAGCCCAATTGATTTACCAAATTTTTTATCTCTAGAAGTTTTTTCGAAAAATTAAGCATTTTTTTCCATGTTAATTTAAAAGGAATATTTTAATCCAAAAAAAAAAATTGTGAGAAAAAATATCTTAGGGGTTGAATATTTCAACCCCTTCTAAGCATAATTCAGGGTTGGAAACATTCAAAAATGTATGGTTTTTGCTTTTGAGTGTATGATAAATTGAAATTCATCATACAGGGCGTGGAAAGAAATTCTGAATTGAGACTCTAATCACGAATCTGCGATTAGAGGTCTATAAAAATCATAAGTTTCCATCGTTCAAGTTTGAACCCCCTGATATGTATAAAGCACTACATTGAGTATCCGCATTCTCTATGTGATGAGAATATCTACTCTTTTTCAGTTTATTCAATAGAAAACAACTACTTTCCTGGCTATATGCCACGACGAACATTGAATTATATCTATTGAACACACACGATAAGAGTTTGAAAATAAAATATAAAATCTTCTGAAATTGAGAATTTGCATTCTCCTTCAGACAAAAATATGTATATGCACACATCATTCTGAATATTCAACAGAAAACAACTACTTTTTTGGCTATTTGCCACGTCGAACATTGAATTATTCCTGATGATCATTCAAAAGGAGAACATGAAAAATAAATAAAAAAGTCCTCCGAAATTGAGAATTGACATTCTTCTTCAAATCGGATGAATAATATGATGTACAGTCGTATTCAATAATAAAGCGTACGAGTGTTAAAAAGAGAGGTTTACGGCATCCTAGTTCTAGTTGTATAAAACTGGCTCAGCCAATGCTTTGTGTTTTTGAGAACCTTCGACAACTTTACTGTCCACATTTGGTAAACAATCATTCCCGATAGCCCATGTTATGCAAATAGAATGACGTTAATTTCTCTCTGTAATATACTTGTATGCTTTTTTATTGAATACGACTGTACAATGATATAGAAATATAACTTACCAATATATTCAATGTTCGACGTGGCAAATAGCCAGGAAAGTAGTTGTTTTCTGTTGAATATTCAGAATGATGTGTGCATATACATATTTTTGTCTGAAGGAGAAGGCAAATTCTCAATTTCAGAATATTTTATATTTTATTTTCAAACTCTTATCGTGTGTGTTCAATAGATATAATTCAATGTTCGTCGTGAAATATAGCCAGGAAAGTAGTTGTTTTCTATTGAATAAACTGAAAAAGAGTAGATATTCTCATCACATAGAGAATGGGAATTCTCAATGTATTGCTTTATATAAATATATATCCATTTTTGTATGTTCATAATCTATCTGAGAATATTCCTTTTCAACACTTTCATACCCAATCAGGGGGTTCAAACTTGAACGATGGAAACTTATGATTTTTATAGACCTCTAATCGCAGATTCGTTATAGAGTCTCAATTCAGAATTTCTTTCCACGCCCTGTATGATGAATGTCAATTTATCATACACCCAAAAGCAAAAACGTCCAAATGACAGGAATTGAATGTCAACAAATTTTCTCAGATGTCATTTTGTTATAGTTTTACTCGGTTTTAGTTGTATTATAGAGAGATGAAAATTGTGTATATCATGAAGAATGGCTGTAAGAATAAGTGTACATCATGGTTACTGATCACATCACATAGATAGAGAATGCGAATTCTCAATGTATTGCTTTATATAAATGAGAATATTCCTTTTCAATATATGGTTTTGTTAATGAATAATATTTACCAAGTTTCGTGTAACTTCAGCTTAATATACAGGGGAAATTAAAAAGATGATCTTTTTTCAAATTTTCAGAAGGATGTAACTTTACGAGAAGAGGTTTTTCAAAAAAATTATACCAAATACCCAACCCAATTTTCATCACAGAAACACTCCTTACATTTTTTCAGTGTTATTTAGAGACACCCTGTATTACTATAGTGAAATCATTTCCTACTCTAACACGAAGATATACCCTTGAAACAAGAAAGGGCCATTTTCCACCTGCCACTATAAAAAAGCGCACCTTGAGCTCGTTCCAATCGATCAATATCATACAATGATAATTATTCCCAATTGAAATAGCCAAAAGAATATCCGGAAACAGAAGATAATATACTCTCCTCCGATTGTAATGAATCCAAAGGAATTACGCCCTTCTTACATGACCAAATCAAAATAAAAAAAACACATAGATTATTCTTAGGAAAATCCCTTACCTCTGCGTTCGGAAAATTCTGGATGAAACTAAAATGTCCCACCAACTTTATAGCACTAATTTCAAGTAAGAACTGCCGATCCGTGAATGATTTCGATCATTTCGAAAACGAATTGAATGGTGCTGAAAATTCGACTGTTTTCAGGACGAGTCTGTCGACTGAAAATCCTGAAGATGGCCTGGCGATGCGCCGTCGGCGCCGTAGAGGCACGTGATCGAATCGATAGCGTTCTTTGCCGGAGGAGTTTTATTATTAGTAAGGACGTAGTACCTACGCCGAATCGATAAATAATGTACAATATTTGAAAAACTGCATGCCCCAAGTGCAATAATGGTTGGTTAGTTGTTGACCAGTCTCAGAATATCAGAGATAGGGAAACTCTCACAATATTCTATGGATATTCCCATAACATTCTATGAATATTCTATGAATACTCTATGAAAATTCCATAAATATTCTATTAATAGTCTATGAATATTCTATGAATTTGAAATATGGTAGGTTAGATCTCCAAAAACCAACATGGATTCCAAGGTGATAGAGGTAATATAACTGCCATAAATTTACTTCTTGAAGCTGGAGAATGCCCTGCCGGGGTATTCTGTGACCTCAGCAGGGCATCCGACTGTGTAGATCATGACAAATTGCTGTTGAAACTACATAATCATGGAGTACAAGGCTCAGCAAACAAATGGATCGATAGACACTTTCCTGAGGAATCACCATCAGTATGTCAGTATTACAAACATCAGTAATAACATCAAACGTGATAGAAAATCCTCGGCACTTGACATTTCCCTTGGAGTACCGCAGGGTTCAGTGTTGGGACCGATTCTATTTATTTTATATATAAATGACTTGAAAATGTCAATATCCCAAGAAAACGATATTTTACCGCAAAAACTACGTAGTGATATTTTCCAAAAGCTAATTCTCTGTATTTAAATTCTGAAAAGACACACTTCCTTAGATTTCGAAATTACCAAAAGTCTTGTCCAGAACTAAATATCGAAATTAGTGACAATCAAATAGCTCAAAATTGTAGAAGAGTTAAATTTCTAGGAATTTTCATTTTGACAGTACGTTGAGTTGGAATTATTTATTCAGAAACTTGAGGACAGTCTTGAAAACAGATCAAACACTCAATATTTACTATGGACAGGTGGAATCACGGCTGAAATATGGTGTGTTTTTGGGGTTGGTCCACACATGCAAATAACATTTTTCTTGTACAGAAACGAATAATACAGATATATTAAAAACCTCAAATTAGTTGAGCAAGTTAATAATGTCAGAAAATTAGATGCATATGAAAGCTTGGAGATATTTAGGAATAGTAATAGACTAATGAATTATTGTCTATTCACGGTTGGGTGGACATATACTTAGTATATAAGTAGCCCACTAGGATAAAGCATTCAGTTTTAATCTTCTCCTGAAGATGCTAACATAGTTAGCGAAACACGTGTCGAGGTGTAAAGAATCGGTATGGTTAGTGGTAAAACGTTCAAAATTATTCCATAATCCATAATATTCTATGAATGTTCTCTTGATATTATCGACGGATATATTATCATTTGGATATTCTGAGATGAAGATGAGTCCAACAAATATTCTATGGATGTTCTTCGCAGAAATAATTACAAGGAGCAATTTAATAATTAGTAACAACGTATAGAACTAGTACCTATAAATTATACAATATTTGCAAAACTGGAAACCCCAAGTGCAATAATTTGTTGATTAGCTAGTTGACCAGTCTCAGACAGAGCAGAATATCAGGAAATGGGGAATTCTTACAATGTTCTATAAATATTTCCATACCATTCTATGAATATTCTGAGAACGTTTTAAAATATTCCATAATATTCTATGAATATTCTCTTGAAATTAACGAAGGATATTTTGAGATAAAGATAAGTCCAACAAATATTTTTTGAACCTTCTTCGCAGAGGCAATTTTATTATTTATTAGTAACAACGTATAGAACCATTAGTACCCAATGAATTATGTACAATATTTGCGAACCTGCATGTCCCAAGTGCAATATAATTGTTATTTAGCTAGTTAATCACAAGGAACAATTTTATTATTAGTAACAACGTATAGAACCACTAGTACCTATGAATTATATACAATATTGCAAAACCGCATGCCCCAAGTGCGATAATTGTTGGTTAGCTAGTTGTTCAGTATCAGACAGGACAGAATGTCAGGGATAGGAAAATCCTCACAATATTCAATGAATATTCCCATAACATTCTATTAATATTTATTTCATGATCGTTTTAAAATATTCCATAATATTCTATTGATATTCTCATGAAATTATCGAAGGATATATTATCATTTGGATATTCTGATGGAGATAAGTGAAACAATATTCTATAAATGTTCTTCGCAGGAGCAATTTAATTATTAGTAACAACGTATAAAACCACAAGTACCTATGAATTATGTACAATATTTGCAAAACTACAAGCCCCAAGTGCAATAATTGTTGGTTAGCTAGTTGATCAGTCTCAGAGAGAACAGAATATCAAGGAAAGGATATTCTCACAATATTCTATGAATATTTCCATAACTTCTATGAATATTCTAAGAACTTTAGAAAATATTCCATACTATTCTATGAACATTCTCTCGAAATTATCATAGTATAAATCATTCAGATATTTTGAGATAGAGATGAGTCACAAAAATTTTCAATTGGACATGATTTTTCCATGAGAGAAATTTCCGTCTTTCTAGAGGAAATACAGGCTTGAGTTTTGGTGGTGTTGAATTCAACTAGGCTGTGATTTCCGCCATGATGGTAGTTTGTGGAGCAGTCCTTGGTGCCAAACACGGTCGAATGCCTTCGATATATCTAGCGCTACAGCTAGAGATTTCTCATGTTTTTCTAATGAAGCTTGCCATATATGGGTGACGTGGGCTAGTGAATCTCCAGTTGATTTTCGACTTTCAACGGGTGGAATGCCTGGCGGCACCCTTCCCTGGGAATTCTAGGTGGAGTTTGCTGCGAACATCTCTGCAAAAATGTTCGCTTTCTCTTACGATTTTGCTGCTAATGTGCCGTCGGCTTTGGAGATTGATCGGAATGAACTATTAGTGAAATTCCTTCCGACTGCTATAGCGTGGACCAAAACGAACGGGAGCCATTCGACAATCTATGAGTTTTGATCTTATTTTGGCATTGTATGATTCTTCTGATACATCTATTGTTTTTCTGCAGTTATTCCTTGCTTGAACATATTCATGGTAGGCTGTTTGTTTCAAGGCAAAAACTCTAGAGCAGTTCTTGTTGAACCAGCGTTTCGAAGCAGATGGTCTCTTCGAAGAATGAGGTATGTATGTGTCCTCAATGATAGAACTTTTCAGTACCCATTTTATGGAAATTGAAGATACTGTTCTTTCTTCAATTCATGATATACCCAAATATGAACTAAATTAGGGCACCAACAATTCTTCACCACAAATCTATATGTATGCTTTGTCAAAAAACTTGATTGTGCAAGGAAAGTTCCCAAATTCAACTAAATGCCGTCGGTTTTTCATATGATATTCCACAACAAGGTTCCGTCTTGGATTGTTACATTTAAAGAAATATTTTATGATCACTTTCATAAGGACTTTGTAGTCTTTTTCATGGAAATTTTTTGATATCGAAATATTATGATATATAGGCCGTTTTTTGGGGTAAAGACATTGCATGATCGTATATTCAACCGTCATTTTATATAGAATTTAAAATTCAAACTGTCTAATGAGATTTGTTGTATCTATAGCAGTTCATCCCGAATTCGATATAGCTCAAAACATAAATAACGAGAAGACATCATCAGATCTGGTTCATCTCCGAGGTACGACCTATTTAACCTTCCAGTAGTCGTACGCGGAGTATCACTCCGCACGAATATAAAACGCGAGTTTTCTCGAATATACTTTATTCCGAGCTTTATTCCCATATTCCGCCGTACTCAGTACCTTCCTAAAATGACGACTTCAGTACGAATCGAATATTACCGATGTGCAAAATTGCTTTTTTTTATTTAATAGCGTAGTGCGGAGTCGTACTTCGGAGCGACCATAGAAGTATTAGTTATATTGCATATTGCAGTTACACTTTGCACTTTGGGCGTTTAAGGCAAGAATTTTGTCTAATTTGATGAATGATATTTCATAAAATACCGTTTTTTAAACACACATGATCAATGCTACAGTGATAAAAAAATAGACACACCCAATTTTATTGTAGTACATGTGAAAAATTCATGTGCTTATTAGAACCCACTTTATTCATTTGCAGAGATTGCCGATGAGTCATTGGTGGTTTGAGAGTCCTCAGAGTGTTTTTGTTCGAATTCTAGTTATATCTTCGATAGTTGTCTTATGTTAATTTTGGGTTTTGTTATTGAATACATATATTTTTATTGCAATTTTGACATTTCACTTCGTAGATATTCATGTTCAAATGCATACTAATGATATCTTTGGAAAAATTCAAGTCATCATGTTCAAACCACCCAAACTCTCCATTGCGGAGTCAGACTCCGCAGCGACAGACTATGTCCTTTTTAAGGTGCGACTGCTTTTCGTTCTTTCTAATTTAGATTATGGTAAGTATAATATGGAGTGTATGAATGAAGAAGTTATATCTATTTTATTGTGACACGCACTACATTCTAGATATTCTGGGGATTGGGTGATTCTCCGACGGAGAAAATTCCGTTGGACCCCTTCGATGACTCATTCCTCCCAGCAGCCCACGAATACAACCCTGTTTCTGCGGGGGTTGGAAAATCAATGTTCATGACCTAGCTTCAACCCCTGCGCATCGACTCACCAGGCACACAATGTTAATGTTACCATAGGATCAGATCGGTTAAAGTTGGTATTGCAAAATGCATTAGATGCATTAGATGAAATATTGGTTATACCAGTTACGAATAAAGTAGATATCAAAAATCTGAAAATACCAAAAATAACACATTAACATTTAGAAAAGCCTATAAACGTATGGCATATCCTCTGTAGATTGGAAAAATAAATGATAATAATTAATTAATATACACTGTCCATAGAGTAAGATAGAAACAGACAAAAACAGTAAACTGCCCCACATTTGAAATGAGACAAGCAAAATTTCTATCATTTTCGGAGGGTCATAACTTTGGA